TCTGTTTTCTACGGAATTAAGTAATTGCCAACTAGAACTTTATCAGTTTCTGTATAATGGGAGTCCATCTTATTCTAGTTTATCATTAGCTATAAGCATTCTTAGTTTTCATTGTAAGCCATTGGTTTCGACTGTCTAATACATTATGTCATATAAATTGGAGTCAAGCCCTTACGCTCTTTTTATGAATAAGCCTAGTTACTTTTAACTTTATAGCTGTTCAAATGTAGCCCTTATTCATTTCATTCCTCACCCTTGCATGAGACTCACTTAATGAGTATTATATATTTGTCGTGAGGAATTTTATAAGTGCCGCTGATGCACGTCATAATTTTGATGTTTAGCTAAAATCCTTTCGCTGATAACTTTTGCTCAATTTAAATTATAAAACAGTCATTATTAAAAATTTCTAGACTATAGTAAAAAAGTCCCTCAGAGCTGGTAAAAGGTTTTTACCTTGTACCCTTGAAGTATACTAAATTTGTCCAGGAATAAAAAAATATTGTATATTTTTTTGACTTAAGCGCTCGATTAATACACCAAATTTAAAATTACGCAAGCTATATCACTTATAATTGGGCTAAAGCTAGAGTATACTCTCCTCAAATCCATACTATATATAGGCAAATAAATAAATTTTAAGTCATAAAAATAATACATTGCGTTTGGTAACAGACACAGCCCTGAGGATTGATAAGGCATTTAATTTGAGTACGAATGGTCTGAATTATGTAACCTCTAGAATTCCTTTAGTCTAAGCTAAAGTCGAGAGCGAAGTTAAAAGTTCCTGATTAGCAATAATTTTATTGGTTTTTCATCCTGCAAATTAAATTTATTAGAAAATAAAATAAGAGGCCGTAGATTACCGACATTATACAAATTTTTTATAAAATATCTTCTAGTTTATCTTTTGTAAGCATAATCTCTTAATTTACGCTATAAAATCATTAATACATGATCCTCATAGTCACTTAAAGATGTTTTTCATTACCAAATATATGCATTTAAGATGAGGATATAAGTGGGCTATGAATTTACCTCATTCAACATCAAATAGTTTGAATTGCCCTTAAATGCGTTGTTGCTGGCAACCGTTCGTGGACCGGCCAGTTACATTATTTATTTGTATCTGTCTTTTTGCACTAATTCCTTCTTTCGCCATAGCTTATGGTCTATTTTATAAGTCCTTTATCTCAGCATTATGGCAAATTACGCTGTGGGATACGCCCTGTCCTATTTAGCCCTATAGACTAGCGCTAGTCCTGTTTTCATTATCGCATCAATCCTAGTTCTGCCCACATCACCGACCCATGCCATGCCAATTACATTCTCTTTACTGTCATAGTATGCAAGTGTATGCTTTACACGTGAGAGTTTATCCCGACTGGCATTGGCATACAAGGTGTTTTCTGTCAATGGTGCTATTCGTTGACCCCTTCTATGCCCTGCTAAAAATTGCTTAACAATACTAATAATTTACAAGTTTCCTGTAAACTTTGGTGCTAAGTTAATGAGGACAGTAGGTCTTGCAACAAAAGTCCACTAATTCTTAACTGCACTAGAAAAAAAGAACTATAATATTTACTTTTCATTACACATCGTATTAACTGGTACTGATAAAGAGACGGTTTCAAGTCAGATATAAATTTGAGTAAAGCGTAACTACAAGGTCCCAAGACCGACGCCCCATCTTTAGGTAGCAGAATTAGCTTAATTTGAAATCTGTAGTTTTTTAATTTAGCATTCTTCCTGTTCCTTAATGAATTTTTAAACAGTTTAATATTTTAGAGTAGTTACACCCTGTTTTCACTACTTGGTCGTATTGTCAGGGTGACTTAGAAGAGCGCATCTTGTCCGGAGTCCATAATATCAATGATATAATCCAGAGTCGGGCCCTGAATTTTATACATTCCCAGATAATTCACTAGCATCGTCAGTAAGCCTTGCCATTCTTAGGACCAGACTACAACTCGTCAAAGAGACAAGCGAAGTCAATCATTTGACCAATCTTCCTCCTAACAGTTGTGGCATCTCTCATTCTGTCATAATATATTCACCTATCCTGTATTCATGTATCACCCCTTCGATATCACAATTTCTTATTTTCTTATCTAAACCTAATTAAGGAGTGCCCTTTTTGAGTAGATTTTGTGAGGCCTATTTATACTCCCCGTTAGTATCCGTATCCCCTCCTCTGGAAATTATCACACATCTTATGTACTCCGGAAAATATGCGTTCCTCTTGGTCTTCCTGACTATATGACCATGTTGCGAAAGCAGGGTCGGACAACTTATATGCAACGAAAGGTGATCGCGACAGCATGCTCAAGGCTGCACCATCTTGGTCTTCATACTTTCGAGTTTATTTCACACAACTTCTCCATAAGCTCATACATACCCGAGATGAGCACCTATATTTGGACAATTACAAGCACATAGCATCTTTACCAATGGATTTATGCTGGGCAGAGTAGCTTCTGAACGTCAGACTGCTGGTTTTTAAATATCGTGCCTATTCGTCTGTAATAAATCATGAAGAGTTATTAAGGAAAAACCTCATTGATATTTTAATTCCATTGCGATTTTCTAAACTGTGGCTGCATATTTATCACAAATATGGATAAAAAACTTAATAATTCACCATTTTATAATGCTTTTTGCCAGGAGCTTGTAAGCTCTATCAATTTCAACATATTTCCTGTGTTATAAAAGTGATAGCAGAATCCTTCTTTGTGCATTTAGCAATTTTTCCGTTGACTATAGTAACCAATCTCATAAACCCACCCATTTTTCCTGTTGCTTAAAAGCCCCATCAAAATAAGAAACAGCAAGACTATTATCAACAATTATTGTTTAGACTACGTTTCTAAACTTAAATTCTTGTTCAAAAACATAACTTATTTATTATTTTAAAGTATTGTTATTGCAAAAGGCATACGTGTGTAGAGGGGGAATGCATGCGGATTTGGTTTTTAGAATTATTATTACAATAATCTAGTTCTGCCGGTCGATTGACCTGCGAAATAGCCTAGATAAATGTAATAGGTAAGCGTCAAGAAAGATTAGTTAAGTTTGTCAGAGCAACAAACGGATAGTATCCCCACATTTTTTAGACAAGGACAATTAAACTTTTCTATTTACACTATTATGACGATAAATTACAGCTAACACATTTTTTAAGGTACTAAAAATCCTGTCACGCAAGGCTATGCAACATTGCCACTATAAAAATTGAACTCTGAAAATATTTGTAAATGCTTTCACTTAATTCAGATCTAATTTAAGCTCTTCTATGTTTCGCTGATTTATTCTTTCACTATGGCAAAAATCTATTCCAAATACTTTTACAAATACTAGGTCATTTTTCTTTTCGTTTTATTCTATTGAATAATTTAAATGTAAGCTATTCTGACTTGCTGAATCTCAAGGCATAGCAATACATATTTAATGAATAGCGATGTCAGGTGTCGCCCCAAAATAAACTTTTTAAAAGGCTATGAACATTTTTTTTAAATATTCTTTAACTACTTCTCTTTTTATGTCGCCGTTTAGCTTTCAAGTTAAAGAAGCTCATTTTCATGACTGAAGCAAGGAATTCACTATACTCTTTTGGAATCAATGCATATCATATTAGGATACTGAATTTCCTATCTACATGCACTAAGATAATCAAAGAATATCACGCTAATATGTTTCATAAGAGGATAAGGTTCTTCATCAAGATCACTAGTTACATTACAATATTTATCAAAATCCTAAAAAATAGCAATTTACATGCACGTCTTTTTTGGCCCTATTCAGAAAAATAAAGACTAGTTAATAGCCACAAGTTTAACATATTATCATGATTTAATTACATATAAGTGTGTAGGACATAAAGCAGCACCATCGATAAAGGTACCAAAATGCTTAAAAAGCATACTCTCCTTTCAAAGCCGGATCTCTTGGTTGGGCAGGGAAAGAGTACATGCTGTAACATCAGATATAATTTAATTGGGCATAATCTAGACGTGAGTTAATTCTCCAACTAAAAGTATTCCATTTGTATTTCTTCCTAGACGTCATTGGATACGGCTATGGATCTGGTTCGCCAGCACGAGGCCTTCGAGCAGTCTCTCATAGCCTGTGCCGACCGGGTGAATGGGCTGGTCTACAATGGCCGCATGTTTGCCCAACATGATGATCAGAATCGTGACAAAATTTTGGAAAAATGTCTAGGCATCGAAGACAGGTTGGTAGCCGCTTGAGGCACATTTAATACTTTCAATTAATTTTCAGACAAGCATATTAACAGCATGAGGTTCAGATTGACAATGGTCTCTTTTCGTGCGATAGGAACAGCTTCACGTGGGTATCGTAGCTTGGCCGTAGTTATTTGGCGCACCGTGCAAAGAACAGACGAAGGTAGAGCATCATTCATGCTTGCATTTAGTCATTTTTCGTATGTGAGCAGAGATTCAGGACTACCAGCAAATCTGTAATATAAGATGTATTCAGCCTATCTCGTTTAAGGTGATGAAGGTCTGGTAGTAAAATTTTCCCACTACGATGCCGCCAAAGCGTCTTGGAAAGTACCAAGTACACGGTCCAACTATGCAAATTATCATGTATACTATGTACTGCGGACAAAGTGCTAAAACAAAAACAAATAACTTCTATACCCGAGCATTCTGGTCTAGCTAGAAAATGGTGATTCGAAGAGGCCTAGTTGCCCCCTGAAACTCTATTCAAAGCGACGTATAACTTTTCATCAATACCCAGGGCTGGGTAATCAGACCAAAGCCTCCCGAGAACCTTAAAATGACACCTATTACTTACAACATAAATCAGTAGTGTAGAGAGTTTATCGGTATACACACGGTTACCTATTAAATTAAAACTCCCTCAAAATGATTTGAATTGATGGAAGCTTATCTTTTTACAGATACCATCTAAGGTAGTGGAGATGAGGAAGAATTGCATGCCCTTTGGAGCCCGCTAGTTCATGGCTCTGGTCCCTGTAACGGGTGGGTAGATGAGGCGAAGTCTTGTTTGAGAATGAGGACGCCTTTTTGGGATGTATGTAGAGATTAAATTTCCAGCAAAAATCGTGCTTTTGCTCATTAAGTCATCGTAAGCATATTGGCCATAGGTCCAACTAGATCACTTATTTAAAGATATGAAGACCAAGATGTTGTGGCCTCTGGTATGGTCGCAGATCACTTATGTTGGAAACCCCAACACTCAATTTTGGAGGTTGCTTCGTCGATGGTAACTTAGGGAAGGTTTAACAGAATTGGCCAGGCTGACCGCTCTATCATGCATTCTCCTTGTTCGACTCTTCGTGATGTACAAAATCTGCATTTTCTACTCACTTAGAAATCACATCTCTTGTGTATGATTCCTTCTACTGAAAAGTGTCACATCATCGCATATCGATTCTTTGCCAAGGTCACTCTGCCTATCTCAAAAGGTTAACGCCCTTGATAAGTTTTAGTGATATTCTGCTTATTCATGCGTTGTGAGACTTGCTTTCAAAAAAATTTTGCTAACGATGATGTTGCATACTTCTTGTCCACAGGTACTCGGGCAACATGCACAGGGTCAGAGAGCTTGGTTCACAGATTCAGCAGACCTTGAAACTCTTTGAGTTTTTCCAGGAGGTGGAGGATGTAAGTTTAAATTGCCTTACCCATGTTATTATTCTGCTTCATCGCTAACTGTCAAGCCAGATTGTAGCATCTACCGCCTCAGAAGCACGTGACAACTGCAGTCAGACCTGATTTCTGGAGCTCCACACCTTCCGTCTGCAGCCTGGGCCACAGTCTGACTTGCCGCATACTTACGCTCTATGCCTCTCAGCAACTTACCATGGCGACGTGAGGTGACAAAATCACTAGCCTTCTTTCAAGGTCAAAAGTGACTGGACTGATAAGGTCTTGAGCTACGAGGCTATCCTGTGGAATCATCAGAATGTTGCCATCACTTTTTACTCCATCCCTCCCTCATTTATTGTATCAGCATGTCCTTTCTTGTTGATTGGCTTATTCGCCTTCAAATTGCATACCCTCCAAATCTACAAATTGCTTATCATCTGGCTACTTCATATTCACAATAATGCTTTGGCTTGATTTTGGGAGTTTTTCGTTTGAGCCTATGCAGGTCGTACCCTCCAGTCCACCATGGGCCAGAGGCATCAAGTCAAGTGGATTCATCGAGGTGTGTCAGTTTCGACAGTTTTCAATTTGGGCTGATTACAAGACCCTAAGCATAAAGTTTGCGTTTAATTTCACTTAAGCATGGAACTTCAAAAAGCTCGGTGTCTTAGTGGCAGCATTCTCAGAAAAATTTGAACCGTATAAGTGCGGGTGCAGGTGCAAACATGCTATCCCTAAGCCACATTGACAAGCGTGACCTCAAAAGTATAGCAAACCTCTTTCATTTCAGCTTAAGGTTCTTCAAGTTCACTCA